AGTAATAAGCAAGTAAAGATGAAGTAGTCAGAATAAAAAAGTAATAATGACAACAATAACTTGTATAGGCTAAATAGGAGGGGGAAACTGTCAGCTTTCTTCATTTATTTAGTTATGCCAAGGTAAGGAAAGTGGCTGCACGAATTTCTTCTGAACACCTAAGTTTGGCTTCTTCAGTTGGATTGTGATGGCTTCAGTTGTATGCAAAAGACTAACTCATGAAGCAAAACTAATGTTGGTGGGAATACGATAACTAATTTTAAGGGCTTTCTTCATATCAACTTTATTCTTACTAGCTATAAGGCATGTTAAAGCAGAGCTGCGAACAGATATTGTCTGTTCCTTGCTTAGCCATGCAGGACTATGTTGATAAATCCGATGATGAACCTCCATAATAGTACGCTGAATGTAACTAGCGCCATAGGAACAGTCAAACTGCTAGATACACGTAAAGGTGATATTAGGTAGTCTATACTTATTTCTTGAAGAGACAGCGTACCTCTGCTATTTTGAATGCCATTTTCTTTAGGAGGTGTAGCACTACTTTACTGATGCTGTCACCACGAAACTGAAAATTAATGAATAAAATCTTCTTTGGAGCTGTTGCCGTACTGACTAGGTCCATATTTTTACCGATGGACTTTTCTCGGTAACCATTTCCCTGATAATCTTAAGCTCCTCATTAAGTGATTCGTTTGAGTGGATTACTCTAGCTCGATTAACTAAAGACTTCACTAAGTTGTGTTTGCATTTCAAATGTATACAACTCAAAAAGTGAGTATATTTACACTTCTTTGCAGGTTTCCCGTATGCACTTCTTAATGTCCCATCTTTCCCAGTCAGAATGACTTGTAGGTATCAAGTACTATGATTCCTTTCCTTCTTTCTTTCCCTATGGTAAAGTTCATTGCAAAATGCCCACCATTAAATTTTTCCAAGGGTGTCTTTGGCTTAGTCATCATTTTTCACAATAAAAAATGTATCATCCATATATCAACAGTAGAATTCCAATTCATTAATTACTGTTTCCGGTGGTTTATTCTCTAATTTAGGTAGGAAAATATCAGCTGGCATTGGTCATATTGGTGATCTCCTAGCCACATTGTTAATTTGTCTATAGAATTTATTTTTGAAGAAGAAATGAACAGTTTTTAGGATATGAAGGTATATTAACTCTTATGCAAAGTGCGATGTACGCAAACGCAAGTTCTTATACTCCAACTCCTTTAGTACATGTTCTGTCTAGACCAAACACAAATCAAAACACATGAGGACTGGTCGTCTAAATTAAGAAATATGTTTCTGAATGAGAATCGTAGTGCGATGATGATTAACTAGCTAGACAGGCACCGTACACGAATGACCGAAAGTGACACGGCAGCGGGCCGAATGGCATGGTTGCTTGACAGTGAACCTTCAACTCAGTGATTCGACTTAAACAGTGAAGGTCAGCATCCACTGTTGAAAGAAAAATACTGTGGTCTAATAACTTTGCGGAATTATTTACTACCATAGATTCCTTGTACATCTTAAAACAAGCTCCTTCCAAAAGGACACAGGAATACTGATGTCAATTTTTCGCTGAATAATTCCTTTACAAATAAAATCTGCTGTTTAAACCATCGGTACATCAGAAAACAAAGCTGACACATCAGCTGATATTTCGAACTTATCATTTGCACTCAAATCTCTTATCTTTTTTCGACAAATTCAGAACTATCCTTTACATTATATGTTGTACCAATTCATTATACGGAGGCTGTAGGAGTTTCACCAACTATTTAACTGTTGTGTGATATGAAGAATTAAACATATTCATCTCTGGTGTAAGTGGTAAACACCTTTTGTTCACTATAGGTAGCCCATATAATGTTGATGCCACTGTATCCATAGGCTTAAGTAATCTGTACAACTCTTGTGAGAAACTTGAGTGTTTCTGGTACTTTTGATGATCATTGAGTGAGTTATTCATCTTATCTATGTGTTCCATTGGAATGGTAATTACTATTCCGGAAGCTTTATCCGGTCTATTAATTATTAAATTCTCATTTTTCTTCAGTTTATTTAAGAAATCACCATGTTTTCTGGTCAAGATACTATTTGATTTCTATTTGCTATTCATACATTTAAAGGAGCTGTAGACTAAATAATAAAGCGCTCAAGATTTTCTTTCTTTCCTACTGATATTGTTTTCGCCTTATATGTTCGTCTTCGACATGATGCTGAATCTATGTGAATACACCTAACGACTGGACACATCACACTAATTACTAGTGTCCAATGCAAGTACCCACTACAGTCCTACAGGAGGTCAATCGAGAGTCCGAATAGCTCAGTGGGAACGTCTTTGACTGCAGCACTGGGTGACGCGGGTCCGAATCTCAGTAGGGACATGAGTTCCTTTAAGGTTGCAGTTACATCTTGCTAACTAGTGAGTACCGACTAGTACGAAACCTAGGTCCAAGGTTTCCTGCCGATTGCCTTCAACCATCTAACATCAACAGTTCAAAGTGCACCTTGATGGCGAGCTACCTAGAACGGTGGCCAGATTGACTGACTGATGGAATTCAGTCTTTGACAAACAAAAGACTAGACACATCGCACTAGTTAATAATAATAATAATAAATCTACTTTATTCCAAAAACAGTACTTATAATACAGAATGGAATTCTTAGTATTTGTCACAATATTGCATCTGATTTGCTTAAAAATTAAAACAAAATTAATCAGAGGAATTTATCCACGTTTACGATATAGAGTCAAAAATATTCGAAGCACGAATTGAGAGTGTTAAATATAATAATAATAGTTTGTTTCAAACAGTACTGGCGATTCAGTTTGAAAATTTTAGCAAGTTATAGATTATTGAATCTAATGTTCTGTTGATATAGTATGGTTAGGGGAAATACAAAATTAACAGTTATAACACAGCTTAAATGATGTTCACACTTATGAAAAAATAAACAAATAAAAACACAAACTTGAGAGGATTATAAATTTAAGAAGTACAATAACAATAAAGGTTGATGCTGTAAGGGTGGAGGAAATGGTCTATTTAGTAGTGCAAAGAAGGTTAGTTAGTTCATGCCTAACAATATTTTCATCACATAAAGTACGTGCCAAATATGGTATAGTGAAATTTTTATACTAAGACGTACGTGCATAAATTCTTCTGAAAAGACTTCTTGTTTTACCTGAGGAGACAAAAGGTTAGAGCTGCGGGTGAAGTGGATGCTCACAGTCTGACAAAATCCCTTTAGCAAATTTGTACCTGTCAGTGATATGGCCCAATATGATACCACTCGCCTTACTGACAGTCTTCAGAGTTCTAGGAAGTATGACATAGTCTTTTTCAGAGTGTCCAGTGAAAATAATATTAATATAGAAAATATCCCCATTTAGACATTTGGAAAACAGAAAGATTGGGCGAAGAAATATTTACTTTTCAATTAGATCCTTATCTCTGGCTCTACTCTAATATATATAGCATTTTTATTACAATACACAACAGTTTACTAAACAAGTGGTGATATCTTTGTTAACAATAATTAAAAAGTGTCAAAATGTCAATGGGTTGATAATTAACGCAGAAAATCAATACAAATTTAAAAGGTAGAAATGGATAGAATAAATTAATTTTACAAGGATAACACGTAATTAAAGATGAAGTGGTCAAAATAAAAATAAAATAATTTGGTCAATTATAATTTAATAGGTTTAGGGGCAGGGGGGCGACGTAGTCCTATTTATACATTCTTGTAACAATGGCCACGGTAAGAAAAGTAGCTGTACAAATTTCTTCTGTACACATAGGCTTGGCTTCTTCAGATGGATTCCGATTGCTTCAGCTGTCTGTAGAAGAAGAACTCGTAGAGCAAAGTTAAGATTGGTCGGAATGCGATAAATAATTTTAAATGCAGTATTCACATCAACCTTATGCTCAGTATCAACAAAGTGTGCTAAAATAGAACTACGAATAGATCTTGTTTGTCCCTTGCTTAACCATGCTGGATGATGTTCGGAAATACGACTATGAAACTGCCTAATTGTACGCCCAATGTAGCTGGCTACGCAGCTGCAGTCAAACTGGTAGATACACATAGAAGAGGCAAATTTTGGTAGTTTATCCTTATTTCTCGAACACAGAATAGGGGTGGTTTTGAAGAGACAACGTACCTCTGCTGCATAATAAGCTCTTTTAACTGCATTCTTCAAGCGCTGTGTTATGATTTCGCTGATGTTGTCACCAAGGAACTTCAATTTTATGAACATTGGTTTTTTCGAAACTGTAGCCATACTGACTCTCCTTGGTGCTGAATTCATATTCTTCTCAATAAATTTATCTGGATAACCATTTTTTTCTAAGTAATTCTTTAATAATCTTAAGGTCCTCATTGAGGCAGTCGTCTGAACAGATTAACTTAGCTCTATGAACCAGACACTTTACCAGGTTACGTTTATATTTCAAAGGTACAAAACTCAAAAAGTGAGTGTACTGACCTGTTGTTTTAGGTTTCCTATACACACTCCTTCTTAGTGTGCCATCATCTTTCCTTGCCATGAAGACGTCTAGGAATGAGATACTGTCATTTTTTCTTTCTCTGTGGTAAAGTTTATTGCTGAATGTGCATCATTAAACTTGTCAAGGATATTTATTGCATCATTCTCGTCTTTCATAACCACAAATGTGTCATCCATATATCGACAGTAGAAATCCATGTCATTAATTACTCCTTTCAGTGGTCCGTTCTCTAATTTAGCGAGGAAAAAATCAGCTAGGATTGGACCTAATGGGAAACCCATAGCTACACCATCAATTTGCCTGTAATATTCCTTATTGAATAAGAAAAATAATATTATCCAGTGTCCAATGAAAATAATATTATCTGTATAACCAATTAGTATTGATTTTATTAGCTGTATTATTAATTAAACTTGCTGCTTAATGAATATATATATATATATATCTGTTGTATCTAGCCATTGTCAGTAATTCAGTATGTCTGCATATTTAGGAAATAGAAATTCGGAAATGAGGAATAACAGACAGGACGTAGAAGCCAATTCACTAGTGAATCCATTTTGCAAATTTTCTACTGTAACTAATGAGACAGAAGGCAGTGTATTGCAGCCATCAAATTCAGTACAATTATATTCGTGTATACACAACGAACGATTTTATAAATTTTATGGTGCAATTCATGAATCAAATGAATATGCCTTGCCATCAACAAATATTCAATTATCAAAAGCACCGAATAATAACAGAAAACGAATGGATTGTAAACTTTCTGGTCTCGATTGTTTACCTATATTAGAAGAATCATTGGATGGAAAAAATTCACATATCAGTGAAATCACATCTGTTTTGAATAACAGAACTAAACAGTTAATAAACACTTCTAAACAGTCGAGACAAATAAGTTATGAACTTAGTTATTCATCAATTGACAAAGTGGAAAAACTGAAACGCGAATGTGAACAATCAGGTAAACTTGTATCCAATTTACAAATGAGGACGGAACAGCGATCAAAAATCAATAAACGACTGAGAGCTAAAATTAACGGCCTTCTAAGTATAATTCAGATATTAAAAGCGAATATAAATAGTATGGCAGATATGGTTCAGTAGTTTATTACGATAAATGAGTTTTTGTTTTTTCCCTTCCCTGCTATTCAAATAAAAAATAAGGCTTCAAGTTTTTCAATTTTCAGTAGCGGTGTTGCTTTCACGAGACTGGGTTGTTAGTCTCACACTCAAGCGCATCTCTTTTTCAATACTACCACAGGCTAGCAAAATAGATGAGGTTTAGAAATAATGTATGTAGACGGAAAATTATACTTCACAAATCTATATTATGAGATTTGTTGATTACTGTCTCAGCAGCGTTTCACTGGCTCCCAATAAAGGTCAGTGTTCACTAGCAGTATCAGAAAGTCGTTTAGACTTCTGGATAAGACACAGTCAGACTGATCAAGTATTAAAGATTTATGTTTCTAGAACCTTGGGAATTACTGATCTGAAATGACTAATAAAATAAGTCAGTAGGTATTGTTGTGCTATTTCTTTCTTTTTCTGTGGCGTCACAAAATGTAGCACAGCATAATGAGTTTAACTTACAAACCTCTTTATCCTTTTCTTTACGGTTGTCAAAATGTTACTTAATTCAGTGTCTATATGTCATATGGATGTCTTCTTGTTTACAGAAAGTCCTCACAAGTATGATACTATCTGATGTTCACACTGATAAAATGTTGACTGCCGTTATTATTATTGCTTTTATTATTATTATTACTGTTGTTATTAATATTCTTCTTTTGAGTGAGACACAGAGTTTTAGCAGTACATCTCCATTGTATTTTTTTAACGGCTCATCCTTACCTGGTTCCCCGACTCCCCACAAGCCTTCATTTTCCCTTCACGTGATCTTTTTCATGTCACCTTCGGATGTTCAGCTCGTGTTCCACTCTAAGGACTGGCATGTCATATTACTTAAAGGTCTCCTTAGTTTATATTTCATCCGTCTCCACTTCCTTCTGCATTTTTGTTGGGTAATAGGTTCTTCTGCGATTCTCTGACATAGTTCTGAGTCGCTTGCTTATATTTCCTCGCCATCTTCAGTATCGAACGGAGGCAGATGTTAGTGGAAGTTTGCAGCAGGTTGTTAGAAATACACTTGATAACTCGTTCGCCAAGTCTCTGAACCATATAAAGGTGTTGAGTTGACATCAGTGTTGAAAATTAGCACGTTGTTCATTGCGCTGAGTGACGTAGAGGTCCAAAGTGAATCGGGAGGAACGAAAGCTTTCCTGTCTTGCATTTTCGATCCTGGCTTTGACATCCCCTTCTGCACCTCATGTAGTTTAAGTGACATTGTAGAGACAAATGAATGATATGACTTCATCTAGATTCCTCTCGATGATAGTCATTAATGCTCACTGTTGTTGTTGGTGTTTGGGTATCTTTGTCACATCTATCTTTCGTATGTCCACCTCATGTCCAGTTTTCCCTACCTCTCATTGGTAAATCTCCGAGTTTGTTGAACATTAGACGTGGAACATCCACGAAATCCAGGACTTTTAGGGTCTTTTTGTGACTTATGAATCAACTGTTACCAAATGGATCAATCACAAAAAGTTAACGAAATGGACGCCTATTTTGCCATAAGCCGGGAAATGTTATAAAAGTGAAGGGGACTGTTTTATTTGATAAGTTTCTGCGCATTAGGCAAAGAAAGTGTAATCTGTAGCAGGAAACTATACTGAAATATTTACCACTGACCAAAAAATTCAAAACTGTGCAGGAATAAATTTGAAATCCTCCAGTCATCATGCATTTCTATCCTTACATTGATTGGTCACTAGAGAGTAACTAGTATCATGCTTCTAGCCCTTGGTGTTGGTTCAGTCAAATTTTCAATGCGGCCGTCAACATAGGCGACTTGCCATTGCGGTGCACTCTGGACTGATATTAGATGGTTGAAAGCAATCGGTGAGAAGCCCTGGATGTAGCCTTTTCAATTTTTCTCTTTATTGTTCAAGACATTTTGTATTTATTTCTCCATACATCTTGTTCTTATCATTTAGTTCCGTGTTTTGATGTGCAGCATCATATTTGAGATCAGCACAAAGTTACTGCAGACTGCACTTCGTTCGCTTCACTTTGTTAGTAGAAACATATTTACATACATTCTATGATTTTCGCTTTCTTAGTCAATTTGTTTCATTCTCTTAGCTAATTTAAGTACAGCTTGATACCTTTAATAAATTCCATTCCTTAGTGTTTTACGCACATACAATGAAAAGTGACTGGTCTATTAGGCATTGTAAAGTGTTTAACAAACCATTAATCTCCTAATGGAAACTGCTGTTCAATAGTGGGTTTCCGTGACGTGGGAACCAAATTAATGATGTCATGAAATAACAGGTACTCAATTCGCTTTTAAATGGAAACACTAACATTCTAATGAAGGCTACAAAAATAAATGTTAGTCTTAGATTTCACTATAATATAGTTCCAAACGTAAGATTGGAGAATGGAGTGATGTTTGTTTGAATTTACCATCAGTAATCAGCTTCTTATTCCTATGAATACATTCATACATTTTTTCCAATCGCTTTTTGAGTTTCCTCCCGTAGATTACTTTTCACTGTCTTATTCTGGAGACAGATTCTTGTCCCGGATTGTTCACCTTTCAAGAGCATTGATAATTAACAACTCTTTCAGTCGGTCATTTCTACCTTTTGATACATTAGTCTATTGATTTTGTGTATTTTTAAATGTTCTGTTATTCACGCATTTCAGCACATTATATTCATTTGTGTATTTATATTGCACTAGAACCACTTTAAAAAAAAATCAGAAATACAACTTCCCAATTATTTTCACTAGTTAATGGATAAAATAGATATACCCCACCGCTTATTGCGTGTTTCAGTTCCATCGAACGTAACTTGGTTTAAAAGTAAGACAAGCTGTCAACGATTACTGTTTATTTCATTAATAGTATTATTTTATGGTAATACTTGTTTATTAATAAAATCAATGTTGATTGACGATTTTTACATAGTTAAGTCTGATTTATATCTGAATATAACATCATCGTTATCCTCATCATCACCATCACGCACATCGGTGAACAGAACAAACGATCCTAGTATAAATTGGAACAAATTTATTAATAAGGAAGATCTATTATCACAGAAATCCATCTCAGCTAAACAACCAGCTGAAACTACAGTTTCAATTAAGAAAGGCATATGGAGAAATCAGTTAAGTTTTATTGATAAAAGAACGCAAAAGCAGCCTGATGACTCTAATATTGAACTGTCTATGGACAGACTTAAAATATTACGAAATAATTTCAAGATTTTATGGCGTAAATGTTTGTGTCAGTCACATATTATACGGTCATTAGTTTTATGGATAAAAATTAATTACCTCGTAGCCATCAGTATAAAATTATGTCATTTGTGTACATTTTTGATTGCACGTAACTCATTTATTCTTTTCATTTCCTTGTCATTTTGGTTTGAAATACTGATCACCAGCAGTATATATATTATCAATAATCAGCTAAAGCTTTGTATTTTTGATACATATTCAAGTGGACGAATAGATGCAATTAGGCATTTGGAGATAAGCACGTTTAGCATAGCTTATACAGGATGGAGTTATGTACTATTACTTGCTTCTAACTTACTTATTATTCCATTTATAATTGTTTTTATAGTTCTGGTATTTACTGACATGCACTTCTAAATTATTCACTTCAGTGTTTCTTAATCGGTTATTTTTTTGTTTCTGAATTCTTCAAAAGTTGAAGGAATGTGACTTGTGAACATATTTTACCTTAATGATTATTCGTTGGTTTCTACGAAGCATTTGAAATTATATGTGATGACTAATTTAACATGTTCATGTAAATACACACCTGCGTTAAAGAATAATTTCAAAACAAAACTCTGCCTTTATTCTGTATATTTAACTTTATAGTGCGAATTTGATATGCACAGTAATCGTAAAACTATACTCTTGTAAGAAAAACTTTTACCTGGTAGAAATAAAATAGTTATTGCTGAATAACCTGAGAGCAGCTTAAGCATTGTGATAACTCATTTCCAATGGGATAAATAATTAACAAACAAGACAAACAAGTTACTAAAGCCAATTAGATTGTAAACTTGTCAGACAGAAAGCTAACAGAAGCCGAGGTAAAGGTACTAATGAAAGGGATGAACTTCAATATTAGCAACAAAAGATTGAAACCAGAAGATATTATACCTGTAATTGAAACAGCAGTCGAAGGACATGACAAGCAGAAAGCAGAACTAGTACGAGCACAATGTTAACTAACCCTAAGAAAGCAAAGAGCAGAAAAACTAAATGTAACGCAGGAGGAACTAAAAGCACTCCCAGATATTAACGAAGAAAAATCGATTGTCATTACCCAAGCAGAAAAAGGAAACACAATAGTAATACATAACAAAACAACATATAATGAAAAGATGAATGAACATTTACAATCTGGACCCTATACCATAATGACGAAATCAGCTGAAACAATCACAAACAAAACAATGAAAGAAACAGCAAAGGTTGTTAGACAAATGAAAGAAGTAACTGGTCAGTCAAAATGGTTTGAAATTATGCCAAAATCATGTAATATACCTAGGATATGTGGCAAGATAAAATTGCATAAAGAGGGATATCCAATAAGGCCGATTGTAGACTTTAGAAACACACCAACGTATATGCTAACAAGATTTCTCTCGACAATACTTAGACCGACAAGAGACAACTCAAAAGCTAGAATAGTAGATTCATTTGAATTAGTGAGGCGACTAAAAACCACTAAAATAGAGGAAGAGGAAATACTAGTCAACTTTGATGTAAACAGCAATTAGTTCCCTTTATCAGTTTCGACAACAATAAGAAGACGTAGTTTATCTGAAACGTGTAATGTATTTGCGCAACACATTTCGGACATTCTGTTCATACACTTCCATAGGGGTACCCATCGGTCTCTGCAGGTTAGGGCTACAGAACATATTCCAAAGTGGTTGCAAAAACAAATAAAATCGCCGGATACAATCGATCCCGTAAATAGATGTCCAACATCATCTATAGCG